AACTTGTGATGCATAATGGAAAAGGGAGATGGAGTGGCACAGAAGACAAATCTATGGCCACAACATTGTGTTGCTCATAAGTCATACCTGTCCATGGCCCATGGAGGAGTTTCTGAATCAAACTAGCTCTGAAGGAAGCCTTTTGATTCAGCGAATTCTTGCCTCAGAACATACATATTCGTTATATAAGAAGATGCAACAAAAGTAGATCCAGTGATGAAGGAGAAAAATAGGATTAAGAAGCGGATACCATCCTACAAATTTTTATTTTTATTATTATTATTATTTTTGCGGAAAAGGATACCATCCTACAATAAGGAAATGCAAAGTTAAAATAAGAGATATAAATGTGCAGGTAACAAAGTTTTGAACAATAACATAACAACACTTCCAACCAATGAAGAATACATACAAAATGTAACAGAAGGAATTTTAAAATGAGTAGCAAATACATTGCACATGATAAATCAAAAGTTAGCTCTGGTTTGCACATTTATAAGTGCTTTGACTGGTGGATCTCGATTTGAAAATGCCTCGTGGGTCAGGCTTATGCATGAATTATACTAATCGTGTTTTATTAAGAAAGAAGATTCACCGATTTAATATAGACATGGTAAACAATAGGTAAACAACCAGATATATCTGCAACGTTCTAAGATTACAGAATGAGGTCACACAACGTCTTGCAACTTCATCCTAGAAAAAAGTATGTTTGACCAATGATCACTTAACTGTAAAATTGGTTTTTAATAACCGACTATATAAACTAGCAATGTGGTCGACTCACCCGGAGCCCAAGCACTATAACTGAATCGCCCATGGCGTCAAAACGGCCAAGCAGGCAAAAGTCTCTGTTTCATTCCCAATTTCACTTCGACGCCGCCCGAAGGACCCATGTTGGCGGGGAGGCAGTGATGCAGAAAAATGACGTAGTCGCTGCTCGGGGTAAACATGACGCAGGTATTGGACTTCACCGTTCATGTGAAGCTATTGTGGTTGCCGCCGGCGGACGGAGTGGCACGACGACGGCGACTAGGGTTCCATGGCGGCATGGTGTTTGGCTGCTATGCGGTGAATTTTGACCAAGTTCATGTGGATCAGATCCACGGCCTTGATTTGGCCATTTGAGGATGGGTGGCTCTGATTTACATGAGGATTTTCTGGCTTCCGGGTCAATACTCCTATGTTGGAAGTTATCACATAGGACTAGCGCGCTGTTCAAAAACAAAATCAATGTACCAGGCCACGTTTAGTTGGAGGCCGGATTCGGCGTTACTGTAGATACATTGTATCGTTTTGTTTTTATTTAGTAATAATTGTCTAATCGTTGACTAATTAGGCTCAAAACGTTCGTCTCGCAAAGTACAACTAAACTGTGCAATTAGTTTTTGATTTCGTTAACATTTAGTACTCCATGTATGTACCGCAAGTTTGATGTGACGGAGAATCTTCTTTTTGCATAGTGCCAAATTCAGAAAATCTGGGGAACTAAACAGGCCCCCACTTGGAAGCTCAAATAAGGACTTGTTTGGTAAGTTTTTTTTTTCTTTTTTTGCTCCAGTTTCTGTGTTGTAACAAAAGGAAAGTACCTAGAGTAGCTAGAGTCATGAAGCCAACAAAAATAACTTCATCGACTCCTAGTTCATTAGAGAAGAAGAGATAAATTTGACTTGTACTACCATGACATGAAATTGCTCGTTATTGTGTGTAAAAGGAGCTAGGCTAAGGAGAGCTCTCTCAAACAAGGTCTAAGCAACAGGTGAAGCCAAAGAAAGAAAGAAAAACACTAATGGAGTATGCAAACAGACTCAAATAACCAAGGATCTCGAACCTAGTACCTTTAGAATCATGATTATCTGCATATATAAGTACCAAACACTCTTCAACTATCAGGACCTCAGTAGTTTGTCAAGAATAGATCCTGTAACATTAAATAAAGACAAAAACACATCAGAGTAAGCACATGTTGTAAAATCATGGATAATGAGACAATAAAGATAATCAAAGCTCCGTTGAAAAAAAATGATAAGCAATTAAACATGAACAATGAGCTGAAATATGCTCAACAAAAATAACATTTTCTCTAGAAAAACAAAGTACAAATCAATCGGCCTGTTCGCTGGTTGTTTTCTGGGCTGGTTTGGGCTGGCTGGTGCTGGTTTATTGTGAGAGAAAAACACTGTTGGCTGACTGATTTGGGCTGGCTGAAACCAACAAGTGAACAGGCTGAATGACTTCTTAGGGGGGAAATGAGGCTCATGAACATCATGCGTAATCATACTCGATAAACTAGACCACGACGGATCTAAGGTTGCAAACTCCCCCAATAGTTAAAGCAAAGTTAGCACCTTGAATATTAAGTCTATGATAAAATTAAAGTTTGATGCACCAAACTTAGCTCCTTAGCTCATGTTCCACGTCACATTCCATATGTTCTATTTAGATTTCGATCTGGACTTCCATAGTTACAAGGAGATCCAAGTGGGTTTGTCCAGATGTACTTATGTATATAAAGGGATCGGATGCAAGTGGATTTGTCCATACCCATAAATAGTCCGAGTGAGTTCAATACACCCCCACTAACAGGCTCACACACAAAACCTTCTTATACATCCCTAACATGGGTTTAAAGATGGCAACCGGCACAGAATACCCGCGTACCCGCGGGTATCAAACCGGCGAGTGCGGATACGTGCACCAAAGTGCATCCGCGGGCACGGGTGCGAGTAGAGGTATAAATCCATTGGGCGTTGATTAACGGGTAGGAAAATAGCCTACCCGTACCGCAAACCCGCCTTAGTTACCTGATAGGTGGGGTCACAACAACCAAGAATATATTGGAAGAGTAGAAAGGCAGAAACCCTAGCATTCCATGGGATCCATCCCCACCCGACCCGTTCCCTTCCCTCCTACCGCCACCACGCTCAACGTGCCAGTGCGCAACTACCTTCCTACTGCCAAACCCCATCCACCGTCCCCGGCGCCCCCCCAGCACACACCAGATCCAGTCCACACCTCCCGGATCTAGGCTCCCCTAGCCCAAATCTAGCGGTCCCCTGCCCATCGTCCCCGGCGGCCTTCCTACTCGCCCCCGGCCACGCACGCTGGCAGCCTTCCTGTGCGGCAGCGCCCACGCCAGTGGCCAGCACCAGTCCCCAGCCCATGCATAACAAAGGCGCAACGCTTCTAGGCAATAATTTCTTTGCAAACATCGAAGAAAATATAATGGAAGAGAAACATCAATACCAGGACACGGGACGAAAGGCGGGGGATCAGACAACGACGATCCTGCTACCTTCCTTGGTCGTAGCCTCTCTGTCTCTCTCATCGCCGATTCGAGCGAGCGAGAGGAGAGGAGGGTACGCAGAGTGAAGTCTGGTTTCGATGGGTATTTATCAGCAATGCTTCCTTCCTTTTGACCCATGTAGCGTCACTTTGTTTGCGTGATCTGTTGGGTAATTCGATACTAGGATGGACACTATGAACCATCTATTTTAGAAGGACATTTACTGCATTTATAGTATGATTATTTTGAACAGTTGATGCTCCATTGATTAATCTTATTAAGCTTGCATATTGAACTTAATCATATCCTGTCTATTGAATTTAGTCATTTTATTTCATAAAAGTAAAATAACTTAATAATTGTATTAAGCTCACTAACTTAACTCTTTTATTTTTTTAAAGACCCCAACAAACTAAGCTCTTCTGAATTTGTTGTTCCATTCTTTTTTTTGCGACGAAAGAAGAATTATATTAAATAATAGCTAGATACATCAACACGTTACAAGCACTTTAGATTACACTATAAATATTCAGAAATTGATTTTTCATCTAAATTATACCTATGTTGTGAATAGCTCTAAATCTCAAAACCAGACCAGTACGACGTTTTGCGGTAACAGGCAAACACTCAGGAACATGTTCTTTTTTAGAAAAAGAGAGTCCTATGCATATTATTACTCCAAAAGGAAGTTTCATCCGTTTGCTCGACACAAAGAGGCGCTTCGAGCCGGCCGCACATGGTAGCATTTTTATTCTCTCCGATGAGTTGTGTGATGAATGAATTCGTACAGCGCGTCCAAACCAAATCCTCCAGCGGGTAAAAGCCACAAGGTCCCTCCAATTCTCCAAAGTCCAAACCCAAAAACTGAAAGCGCAAGCGGGAAACCACGTGCTGTGATAAAGATGGCAACGGCCACTGATACCCGATGCCCGACGGGTATTTGATCCATTAGGAGACGAGGATATGATCATATCTTTACCCGCGGGCATCTAAATGGGTAAGAATCCATACCCGATGGGTATAGCGGGTACGGGAACGTTTCATGTTTACCCGTCCCCGTTACCCGTTGAAGAATCCGACTATTTCAACTGTCATGCGAGTATTATGTCCAAAGAAGCTCGATATAGGTGTTTTGGTCCAAATCTGAACAATCATATATATATAGTTTGTGTGTTCTAGGAACCCTAGTTTAATTTTTCCTCACCATCTCCCCCAGCAACACAAGCACACCTACCTCACGAGCGCTCGTGCCCCTCGCTTCCTCAGTTCGGTCTCTCTGCCACCTTTGCTCGTCCTCCTCGCAACCTCGCTCCTTCTCCTCAGCATCTCCGAGACTCCGACACTTATACCCAGGTGAAGAAGAAACGTCTCCGATTGCAAAGCTACGACTCCAAGTGTCCTTGTTTATCGGATATGCAGTACCCGTCGGGTATCTGTTACTCGATCGATGCCCGACGGGTACAGGGATAGGCAAGAATCTATACCTGAGACAGTTAACGGGGACGAAAACAGAGACGAAATAAATTCTCCGTAGCGGGGAAGAGAACGTTCCAGCGATACCCAACGAGTATATCCCGTTGCCATCCTAAGTGCTGTCCGCAACACAAACGGTCCAAAAACCATCCGCCACTGACAACCGGGGGGCGGGGTCCCGTTTCGGGTCTGGGGTGTGGTTTTGACCTTTGAAGGGGATTCTTGTATGTGCGCAGATGAGATGGCGAGGGCGGATTCGGACAGGTTCACGGCCATCATCCAGCAGGTGGATTGCCTGCACGAGCTCGGTATGGATCGTCTCTCTGTTGCTTGTGAACGACTGCGTTTTTTTCCATTCCAGAAAGCAAGTGTGTTGAGCTTTGAAGAGCCGTGAGACGATTTTTTTTTTTTTTTTGCTTGGACTTGCTGCATGGTTTTCGATTTTGGAATGTTTTTGTCATTTGAGTGGTGTGCTAAGATTACTGGTTACTGTAAAATTGCTTTCTGGGGGTGCTTGAAGCAGGTTTTAGGTACACAATGGCTCCAAAATTGAAAGGAGCTGCTTTCGTGGAACGTTTTTTTAATTGAGAATAAGTTCAGTTACAGATAGCTTGCAAGTTGTGTGCTTGTGTTCCTTGTTCAATAGTGTCCCACTCAATCTGAATGCTTTGATAAAGTAGCTTACTTGGGACCAAGATTGGTCAGCTTACAGATAGTTTCACTCTATACCTTCAAGAAGCATGTTCCTCAATCACGAATTGCTATTGATATTCACACTGGATTTGAAATGTTTGGATATTCTGAACTCATTAGTTTGTTACCTTGATGGAGGTATTGCATTATTCCTATTCATATTTCAGTCTACTATATGACATTTTGTTTCAAATTCTTAATTGAACGTCAGGATATAGTAATAACAGAGAACTGTTGACTAGACTCTATAAGTGTGTTTATACAGTTTGACGCCTCACTTAGATGTGTAATCTAGCATAAATATATTTTACATCAACATATCTTATTGTTTTAGATAGATTTCTAAAAGACAAGTAACATGGACACACATATGTATAGTATATGGACCGTGCAGTTTGTATTAGTTGTTCTTCCATGCAAATTGGCGCATCTTGATGTATTTTCCTGCTCAACACTTTGGTTTATTCCTTGCATGATTGCATTTTGTGGCAAAAATGGGTGTATCATTTGATTGTAACACAGCATATTAGGGACCACTGTTGTATGCTAGCGTGGCTATTGATTGTGGGAGCAAATGCTGTATTTTGCTATTCTTTGCTTGTTGACTATGCAAAAACTAATCCATATAAGAACACAAAATAAGAGTGTCCTTCCACATTGCAGTGCAGAGGCCTAGGGAGCAAATAGCGGATGCAGAAGCTCTGCTTGGCATTGCAAGCACTTTGGTAACTTCGGTGAGGTCCCAGTCATGTGAAGGAATCACCCCTTCTGATTTCATAACAGCTTTACTCAAGAAGTTTGGGCAGCAAGGGACCCCTGATGATGAGTCTGTCTCGTTGCGATGGGGTGATCTCGGGCATTCTGTTTCACATATCTTCAGGCCTATGCCTGGATGCTGTACCATGTAATGAAGCCCCTCTCTTTAAACCAACACTTAACATTGCATGCATGGACACCCCTGCCCACCCCCTGAGCTACCAAATGAGTTAATGCATGATGTTAATGTTTTCAGGCTTGGTCCTATGGATACTGAAGTAAAGCAACGGAAAGTTGCGGCTGTTGGTAGAAAATGGACTGCACGGCCAACAGAAAATAATTGTCCTGAAGAGGTAGCCACATGCTCATCATGATGTAAATCATACATTCATACACTATAAGTTAAGTGAAATCATGATTTCCTTTAGGTCTTCCTTTTGCCTTTGATTTCAATGCATTGTTAAATCATACATTCATACACTATAAGTTAAGTGAAATCATGATTTCCTTTAGGTCTTCCTTTTGCCTTTGATTTCAATGCATTGTTCTCATGATTGGTGTTCTGCTTTGCAATTCTTAGTTCACATTATTTTTAAAATCAGAAATATTTTAAAGGTAGTACCATTCATATTCTCAGTTCTTCCTTCATATGCATTTGAATTTCCTATAGCATTGTTATTATCTTTAAGTCACTACACTTGCTGTTCACAGCTAACTTCCAACCTTATGACATTTTGCAAAATGCAGCTTGCTGATTCTTCAGAGGAAGTAAAGTCAGACACTGACAGGAATGTCTTAGTTATTTTTTATGTCCTGAGGCGAAAGAAGAGTACAAAGCTTGAAAACTTTGTTTTGAATAGGCTTTCATTTGCCCAAACGGTTGAAAATATTTTTGCACTGTCTTTCTTAGTGAAAGATGGTAGGGTGGAAATAATATAGATAACAACGGGCATCATATAGTACGTAAGTACTTTATTCACAATTGCTTTTGAGCTTAAGTTATATTATGCATTTATGCTGTGACTGTTTCTAACACAATATTATTGGTCTTGAACAGGTCCAAGGAATTCACCTGCTGCTAGCGCCATAGCCTCAGGAGAAGTCTCCTACAGTCATTTTGTTTTTAGATTTAATTTCAAAGACTGGAAGGTATAGTTTCTGATTATTAAATTTGTATTTATCAGCAAAGCTTTATGTATTTAATCTGGATATTCCTTATTCAGCCTCATGCGTGGAGTTGGTCTGTGAGTAAAGTTGTAGGGGATGCAACTGAAAACAGAGCTTAACATATTCAACTCCTCTCCCATTTGAGTACCAATGATTTAGAGTTGTTATTAAGATGCTAGCTATGGTACTAGGAAAAAGTCATAGCCATGTTCTGCTTACCATGTGTTAACCATTTAAGCATGCTTCCATTGCAAGAGGAATTGAAGAAACTATAAAAGCGAATTGGATTGCAATTCCTATGTACATGATGTGGGAATATGTTATTTATTCTTATTTGTATGTATTACCTTCACATAATCAGATTTTTCCTCTATTTATCCAACCAGAGCTTATGAAAGAAGCTGTCACGGAAGGGGAAGAGTTGTTGCCACACAGGACTTTGCAGAGCGCTCCTTGCAATGAAGAGAATGATCAACCAAATACGGAGGCACGTGCGCAAGTAACGCCTATCAAGAAACTCACCCGGAACCGAGGCTTGATCTTGCAGGATCATGTAGTCGAGGAAACTCCTGAGGAGAACCAAACGTCTAAGCGCAGGCGCCTTTTCAGAGATCAAGATTGACCTAGCAATTGCTTGGCATGAGTAGTGTAGGCAGGCAGCCTGCCTTGTTTTGTATGTAAAAAAAAATGCCTTAGCTTGAGTAGCTTAGCTTAACCACTAGGTCTGTAGGACAGTTGTGCATGCTGTCTTAGCATCGCTCGTGCATCTCTGAGTAGTAGGGAATGTAACTAAATTCCAATTATTTTAACTTCCGTTCACATCTTACAACTGCATAATGGCTCGTTGTGGCTCGGTTTGGTCTGAATAACTAGCCCGTTAACAGCTTGAGCTAGTTTGTTTAGCTTGTGAGTTAGTGGCTCGTTAACAGCTTGAGCTAGTTTGTTTAGCCCATTATCATAACAAGCTCTAAAAGTTAAGTTGGTTTGGCTTGGCTCGTTAACAGCTTGATCTAGTTTGTTTAGCTTGTGAGTTAGTGCAACAACGCATGGATAGAACTCGCTAACATAGAATTGTGACATTGTACATCGGTTATTCTATACTTACACAAGCCAACATCAATTCAATTGAATTCCATGTACACAGACAGCACACGTCACTATATTGATCCTGAGCTTTCTCAAACCATGTCAGCATAATTACTTTGGACAATCAAAGTCCAGTTCCACGTCTATTCCTATATAGAAGCAGAATCTAGTCTACAGAGGTTTTGGAATCTTTGATACATACATTTCTATGGATATGGAGGCAGCCTGAGGCTAATTTGTGAATCCTTGTCCACGGTCACGAAGTGGTTGCTCTCGTCGGCTCCTGACTCAAATTGGTTAAAGAGTTAAGACGAGCCATTTTGATGTTCATGTCGGCTGATGAATGGTGATGTCTCATTCTTGAATGCTTGACGCCTTAAATTTGTTCTTTTACCGTACTTTTGCTGTCCTGCAAGAACAAGCAACCCACAAACACCAACAGAACAGAACCAGCACCCGCATCGCAGCTCAATACTACGAAACGGCTCCGCGAGAAACGACATCACAATCGAAGCTGAAACCAACCTACGGTGGCTTCTCCGCTTTCAGCGGCTCCTAGAGTGAAGCTACAGTCTGGCTCTTTTTTTTTTTTGCCAAGAAGGGCCTATGTTTAACAATTGGAACCGACCATAACAAAATAATCACAAGCTCTGGCACACAGTGATACTATACAAATCAGCAGCATCAACGCTTCTCTGCTTGAATGTGTCCTAGAAACATACTACCCCCTCCGTTCTTAATTACAAATCGCTTTGACTTTTTTTAGTTCATCTATTTTGCTATGAATTTATTATTATATCCAGATACATAACAAAATGGATGTATCAAAAAAGTCAAAGCGACTTAGCGTGTGTTTAGTTTCAGAAAGTTGGAATTTGGGGCTACTGTAGCACGTTCGTTTTTATTTGGTAATTAGTGTTTAAACATGGACTAATTAGGCTCAAAACGTCCGTCTCACAATTTCCCACCAAACTGTGCAATTAATTTTTTTTCGTCTACATTTAATGCTCCATGCATAGACCACAAACATTCGATGTGACAGGTACTGTAGCACTTTTTAGGATTTTAGGGTGGAACTGAACACGCGCTTATAATTTAGAACAGAGGGAGTCCCTAAGTAGTTCATAATAGAACATTCAAGAAGAAATGCGGAAAACAAATTTAGTTGGCCAATAGCACAGGCCTAAACAAGTCCGCAAATTCAGTAGTAGCCCTGAAGTCAGCAAATCAGTAGCGCAGGCCTAAAGAAGTCAGCAAATCCATCATCAGAGACCAAGTTTAGAGTTACATTGACTAATGACTACGAGGTATGAAACATGACATGGATCTCAAGCAGTAGCAGGCTTGCGCAGCTCATTGCCACCATGGGCAAAGTGACACTTGTCGCCAAAAGAACACGATCCTTTTGCGAAGTTCTCACACATCTTGGTCTTGAAGTTGCTTCCTGTGCCTCCACCACGATGAGTTCCGCCAGCTGGGTTCTTGGCCTGCAGAGGGGCATTGCCACTGATGCTGACAATCAGCTCACTGACCATAGCACTAGCATTCCTGATCTGATCAAAGGTGCCCTCAAGCTCAATGTTTTTCAAGCTGGTGTCTGATTCATGGTCCCGGATGGCCAGCTTTGCCCGGTGACTCGAGATATCTGTTTTGTGTGAACTCCACCCTCCCGATGATGCCACCTGCAAGGGATGCATCAACACTGATCTTGGCTGTGGCAGAAGCGCCTGGTTAGCTGGAGTGGCCAAGCCAGGGTTGGCCATAGGTGGAGGTGCAAAATGACCAGTGGGTCTTGGTCCCATGCGGGGTGGCATATAGCTGTCCATCAACATAGGCTTGCCAAGCTCCCTTTCACCATGTGCAAAGTGGCATTTGTCACCCCATTTGCATCCCTCTGCAGTGTTGTACTTGTTGCACAAGCAAGTCTTCACGGTGCGTGTAGGGGGCCCATCCATTGTCGTTCTTCCAGGAGGTGCAATTGTTGTGCCACCCAGGTTGGTCATTTTTGAAACTGCCTGGTAGCCACCAGGGAAGTAATGGAGAAAATGGCAGCCCTCACCAAAGGGACAACCAGAGGTACTGCACGATGAGAATATTATCAGGATATATGCAACTGAAGAAGCATATGAATAATGAATATATGATTACAAATGATGACAACTAGCGACATTCTTAAATGTAAATCACTGAGCATAGTGATGTACTACTATGGACGGACATTAGACATTAGAATAATCTCAAGAAAAATCTAACATGACTTAACCACGAACATTTGCCATGCTGTGAAAATAAATATTGGGTAGATACATTTCAGATGTTGAGCTTAAGGATATTGCTACCATGTGCTCTAGATCCCAACGTTGAACTTTAGCAATACATGATGGTTAAACAAGAAAAAATGTAAATACAATAAATATGGGCAGTGAACATTTATTGGAACAGCTACTGATGTAAGTAATAATTTCAAACTACAAGGTAGCAAAGTTATCCCTGCAGAACCAAATGTTAGGAAAACTTTGTAGGTGGAGAAGGATATAGGTGGCACAATTTCAAGATGGGTGTTCGATTGCAGTTCCCAAGTCATGTGCTCAAACTTCTTTTTCTCAATTTGAGCAAATGGCACTGCATCATGGCAGCAACTGATTGTTCATCTGAAAAGGGTTAAATATCCTTATTGTCTTATACTGCCGTGGCATCTTTCAAAGGTTCATGTGCATTCCAATTTTACTCCAGTAATGTTCTTAAGCTGGATTAGGAGAACCTGTAGCACAATATTTCTTAACTATTCTGTTAGCAATAAAAGATTCTTATAACAAATGCAAGTAAGTTTTAATTGAAATAAGCAGCTATGCAGAATGAATGTTACCAGGTGAAGTTCATTTTAAGTTGGATTATAACCTGAAAAATTTGGTGCATGGCTTCGATTTGCTTCCTACACCACTTTGAAATGACTCCGCTTCTGTTACATCAAATTAATTATGTGCGCCAGGTTAATATGTTGCTAATTTACTAATATCGGTATACAATAATGAACATTAATGAGGTCTTGTCTACATCAGCATAGTGCATTAATTAATTAAAACGCAAAGTGGACTTTCAGCTTGTATCTGTGGCCAAATGCCCAAATTGTCGACTGGGCAGCAGACACAGCAAGCCAACAATAATAATAATAAAAACTCATAAACCTCGGTTATCGAAAGCGAAGACCCGCGCACTATATGAATGATTTCAGGCTAAAATGCAACAAATAAGCCCAATGCCGAACCCGAACGATACAAAATTGCTAACATACGAAAAATTATTACGCACCGAGTTCACGGAACTTGGGGGAACTGGCGATTCTCGTTTCACCAATCAATGGATCAACAACCCTAGATCCGAGACAGCTTCCCCCGAAATCCCCAAACCCTGACATAGCAAACAGCTCAAACCCCACTAACCCTCGAGGCCCCGAGGCGCAACGCCCTACGAAAGTTGATCCGCTAAACGAGGAAACACGTCCGGAGAGGAACGGGGTTCGCGGCGAGAGCGAGGGCTGGCTCCGCTCCACTCACCTCGCGATCGCTTCCCGCCGGCGGAGGCCCCTTTGGCGCCGTCGCCCTTCCCCCTCTTGCGGCCGCCCTCCATGGATGTTTCCGCTCTCGCGCCTCCGTTGGCTCGGTTAGGGTTTGCGTTGCGAACCGCCGCGGCCAGGAGCGTGTGGCCTTGCGGTTGCGGAAGAAGAGCCGGCAGCGGTGAACGAGGGGAAGCCAGAAGCGTGTGGTGGAGTGGGGAGGAAGCACTGAAGCGACCGATGGGCCGCGGATTTAGTGGGCTAGGCCTACCTGTCATCTCAGCCCAAAGAGCGGGCGATCCGCGGTGCCTGACCACCTTGTTCTTCTTGCTTTGCAGGACCGTTCCACCTGTTCCGTTCAGAACTAGAAACACAAGCGCGGCTTTGCCGCGCCCTTGTTGTAGAGTCCCAGCCTGTGGATGATGAATCCTTTATTCTGCAAATGGGCATATAGGATATTAACATTTGTTTGGGCTCATGTTTATTTCGTTGTATTTAATAAATAGAAAATGTCAAATTCCATTTGCACAGGGATACCACGGTCATTGGAAATTATTAAGTGGCTAAAATTTCACAAAAATTCATGTGCTTCAATACATTCAATAATGCCTGGTGGTTCATTTTTTACGATAGTTCCCATGCAAATTATTTGCTTATCATGTGCCACTTGGCTGATGAAATATGGTCTCTCGGAGTTTCATGATTGCAACTGTGAAAACTGAGTCACATGAGATTCGTTAAGATGTAAACAATCAATCGTACGGAAAGGATGTTTTTTTTTATAAAGAACTGAAAAGATGTTGAAAATAGACAAGCCGGTTGAAGTATTGCTTTTTGAGATCTCCGGTGTTACTCACATGGAGAAGTTACAAAGCTTGATAGAACTAAACATTGGGTTCATGAATTGAACTATTATTGTGGCAGCAGCTGTTACAAACCTGAAAATAGTACGTGCACATACAGATCAGATGAACTACTATTAG